TCTGTCTCGTCTGTTCCATAAATGCATGCATCTATTCTTTCCACAACATCACTCTTTGCCTTCCCATATAGATTTTAAAATGAGTTTGTCTATATATATGAAAAATTCTGCTGAGATTTGATTGGACTTGTGTTAAATTTATAGGTCATCTTAAAGATATATTGTTTATATTAAGTCTTCCAATCCATGAATACAGTATGTTTCTCTATTTGCTTAGGCCTTTTTGATTTGTTCCACCAGAATTTTGTTATTTTCATTATTCAAATTTTGCACACTTCTTGTAAGATTTGAGCTGAAATATTTCATATCATGGAGATATTGTAGGTGGTATTCTTAAAAATATCAGTTTCCAATTTTTTATTTCGAAATTATAGAAATACAATTTTTTTTATTGTGCTTTAAGTGGAAGTTTACAATTCAAGTTAGTTTCGCATACAAAAATTTATACATACATTGTTTTGTAACCCTCCTTGCTCTCTCCATACTGTGACAGCACACTCTTCCTTTCCACCCCAGATTTCCTGTGTCCATTCAACCAGCTCCTCACCCTCTCTGCCTTCTCATCTCGCCTCTGGACAGGAGCTTCCCATTTAGTCTCATGTATCTACTTGAGCTAAGAAGTACATTCTTCATGAGTATCATTTTATATCCCATAGTCCAGTCTAATCTTTGTCTGAAGAGTTGGCCTCAGGAATGGTTTTAGTTTTGGGCTAACAGAGATCCCGGGGGCCATGTCTTCCAGGGTCCCTCCAATCTCAAAGTAACCATTAAGTCTGGGCTTTTTACTAGAATTTGACTTCTGCACCTCACTTTTTTCCTGCTCCATCAAGGACTCTCTTGTGTTCTGTGTCAGGCCAGTCATTGTGGTACCCAGGCACCATCTAGTTCTTCTGGTCTCAGGCTGATGAAATCTCTGGTTTATGTGGCCTTTTCTGTCTGTTGGGCTAATACTTTCCAACTCTATGGTGTTCTTCATTCTCCTTTACTCCAGGTGTGTTGGGACCAACTGATGCATCTTAGACGGCTTCTCGATAGTTTTTAAGACCCCAGACGCCACTCACCAAAGTGGGATGCAGAACATTTTCTTTAAAAACTTTGTTATACCAATTTGACCTAGATGTCCTCTTAAAGCATGGGTCCCCAGCCCCTGCCCCTGTTACTCTGTCCCTCAAAGTGTTTGGTTGTATTCAGGAAACTTCTTAGCTTTGGTTTAGTCCAGTTGTGCTGACTTCCCCTGTAGTATGTGCTGTCCTTCCCTTTACCGAAGATAATTCTTATCTACTTTCTAGTTAGTGAATACCCCTCTCCCTCCCTCCCACAATTGTTTTGGTGTTGTTGTTGTTGACTGTATCCTGCAACATTGAAAACTCCATTATTATTTCAAGGAGTTCTTTGTACATGTCCTCGGAATTTCTTTGCATATGTTATAAGTTATTAAGTTAATGAAGCCATACTGAAGTACAGTGAGTCCTAATCCTAATTCCTTCTAAGTGGTGTCTTATAAAAAAGAAAGACAGATATGGAAACGGTCCACACACAGGGGAAGACAGCCTGTGAGGATCTGTCCACAATCCAAGAACACCAGGAAACATCCAGGGCAACCAGAAGCTGAAAGAGACAAGAAAGGATCTTACCCTAGAGCCAACACAGAGAGAAGGCATAGCCCTGCCAACACCCTGAATCAGAACTTCTAGCCTTAGAAATGTGAGAGTATAAATAAATTTCTGTTGTTTAAAGCCACACACTTTGTCGTATTTTGTTATGGCAGCCCTAGGAAACTAAAACATACACCATATTAATAGAATAAAGAACAAAACTGCTTGATCATCTCAATAGACACAGTAAAAGCACTTGACAAAATCCAAAACCTTTCATGATGAAATCTTTCAACAAATTAGGAATAGAAGGAAACTTCCTCAACCTGATAAAAGACATCTATGAAAATTCCATAGCTGACATCATACTTAATAGTGAAAGACTGAAAGCTTCACCCCTAAGATCAAGAGCAAGATAAAGATGTCCACTCTCAGCACTTCCACTCAACACTGTACCAGAAGTCAATTAGGCAAGACCAAGAAATAAAAGGCATCAGATTGGAAGTCTCTATTCACAGATGGCATGATATTGTATAGAGAAAATCCTGAGGAATTAAAAAAAAAAAAAACTGCTAGAAATGAGTTCAACAAGCTGGCAGGATACAAGGTCAATATGTACAAATTAATGTATTTCTGTACACTAGCAGTGAACACCACTACCGATCTGTCAGTTTGTCATACTGTGGTAGTTTGTGTGTAGCTATGCTGCTGGAAGCTATGTGACAAGTATTCTAAATACCAGCAGGGTCACAATGGTGGATAGGTTTCAGCAGAGTTTCCAAACTAAGACAGACCAGGCAATCTACTTCCAAAAATTAGCCAATGAAAACCCTATGGATCACAACAGAATACTGTCTGATATAGTATTGGAAGATGAGCTCGCCTGGTTGGAAGACACTCAAAATATGCAGTGGCCCCAACAATGGAATCAAACATATCCAATGATCATGAATATGTCACAACATAGACATTTTGTTCTGTTGTACATGAAGTTGCCATGAGTCAAAATTTACTCAACTGCAACTAACAATGAAACATCTTAAAATGAAATTAACAAATCAATTCTGTTTACAATCATATATAAAAAAAGAACAAAATAGGAATAAATTTAATAAAAGAAATGCAAGATTTATACATGGAAAACTGCAAATCATCTTTGAAAAAACTTAAGACCTAAATAAATGGAAAAACATTCCATGTTCACAAATAAGAAGACTTAATGTTGTTAAGATGTTAACACTCCCCAAATTGATTTACAGATTCAATGCAATCCCTATCAAGTTCCCAGCTGGAATATTTGCAAAAATTGAAAAACTAATCCTAAAATTCATATGAAATTTCAATGAACTCAGAATAGCCAAAACAATCTCGAAAAAGAAGAATAAAGTTGGACGACTCACATTTCCAATTTCAAAATGTACTACAAAGCTGCAGTAATCAAGATAGTGTGGTATGGCAAAGCTACAGTAATCAAAATAGTGTGGTATATCATATAGAACAAAAGAATATAATTGATAGTCCATAAATAAACCCAGATATTTACAGTTAACTGATTTTTAACAAATGTATTAAGACCATCCAATGGGGAAAGAATAGCCTTTTCAACAAATGTTACTGGGACAACTGGATATCCACATGCGAAAGAGTAAATTTTGACCCTACTCCACATTATACGGAAAAATTAACTCACAATGGATCATAGAACTAAATATAAGAGCTGAAACTACAAAACTCTTACAAGAAAACATAGGAGTAAATGTTAATAACCTTGTTTTAGACAAAGGTTTCTTAGATGTTACACCAAGAAGTACTAGCAGCCAGAGAAAAAATAGATAAATTGAACATTA